CAAAACTTTCACAAGAAAAAATTGCATTTGGTAATCCACAATCGATTTCCTATAAGTGCTGCCCCTAAGGTGTAGAATCTGAATGATCGTTTTTAGGTAGTCGAACACTAGTTTACAATTTCCACAATCAAACCAACTTTTCTGATATATTCAAATTATCTCCCAGAGAACGTAGCAGATAAAGATTTGAACTACTAAGGTCAGAGGAGTTCGATGCTGGTGGAAGGTATTTCCATTTTTAGTCTCCGAGTTTTCGTGTGGTTGCGGTTGAGCAATATCTGGTCTAGCGTTGCCGTGGTGCCAGATAACGCCTTTCCTACTGGCCAAATTTGGGCATTTTTGCTTGATTTTTTGTGAAACGTGAGAATCGCAGTTAGCGCTAAGCCTACGACGGGTCGAGCGCGATCGGCACATTTGAGAGCTATCAGTCTGACGGAGACAGCTGGTGCGAAGTAGCCAGGAGAGTTTGGATCTCAGGAAGATTACGGATAAGTATAGCGTTGCGTGCTTTGGTTAATCATCGAAAATCCCAATCGTGTGAATTCCAGTCCTGAGAAAGGCATTCGAAAACGCTTAGTTTAACGATGTACGCCCTACTTATTGGACGAATTTCTCCCTCTTTAGTGCAACGAACAAAGGATCCATAATTCGTACGGTGTGTTTACTACAGTCCTTCGGCTCAGCGCTTAAAACTGCCTATACGGCCCCACTTAAATGGCATTCTGCACAATTCGTCACTTGTACACATCAATCACCACAGGATGGTCATTTGGCATCCGTTGTGATGACTGATGCAGTTTGCGTATTATGGCCTTTGCCTAGTTAGTGCCAATCCGCATTAACTGTTACCCATCTCGAAACCTCTGGCTGGTTTTCCTTCGGTTTTCACTCGCGCACCTTCCAGAATAACTAGCTTGGAGACTCAGAAGGATCTAGATTGTACTCTTCCTCACGTTCAATCGATTCTGCAGATTGCGATCCATTGAAAAGGCCGAAATCACAGCACCTAGGTTGTTTAAATCAACGGTGACGAGTTGTGAAAGTTAGTTAGTGGCACTTGTGGCACCAGTGTCCAGGTGCGTATATCACAGAGTATCTGGCAGTCCATTTTATCACAGTGCGCGCAAATATCACCCCTTTCCAGGTACCCCTAAATACTCAATCATGCTTAGATTTTACAACATTACGACCACAGAGTCTTGTTGGTGCGGGGTAGTGATAATGCATTCGAGAATGACGAAATTTAGAATATTCTGAGGCAGAAACGTCGTCCTCATGACTTGTGCTCTCTTAATTTTGGTCCGCAAACCAAATCCAAAACGCGCTCCGGCGCGATCCACTCGCGCACGCACGCACTCACACACACACACATACGCACGCACATGAATGTGCGCGAATGCGCGCCGGCGTGACCGCTTCTCGACGAATCAGACGAGAGGGTGAGTGCGCGAGGCGTCACCCAGAGGCCCAGGCGTGCGCGCAGAGCTTGTTCCAGCGAGCCTCACATGTTTCTCTTGTTGACATGTAGCCATGGCATTAACAAAGGACGCGGTGAGGCGTGATGTGTTTACTCGGAAGCCCTCGGCGATGGCGTGTGGCTGTTCTCGTACTGACCGGCGTCGTATTTGTAAGTTACCCATCTAAATACCACAATTTAATCATTTCTGCGTTTGATGTTGTCGATTCTACCACACAGAAGGTCCGGTTTTAGATTGCTTTTTGTGCTCGGTTATTAGATCCTGAAACACGAAGTTTCATGAACTACAGCAAGCTGGTTTATGCGATTCGAAGATTAGCAGAGCCGTATGATTGAGTACCAATACAAAAATGTAACACGCTTTGGCTACAATTGGTGTTACGATGTCAGTATTGGGTGTTAAGTCTTCTTTTTCAAAATGTTCCTGCCCTGAAACCGCCAGATCTGTCTTAACCCTCCTTTGATTGTCTATCTTCCAAGCTAATATAACTGAATTCGACCTCGTTTGTGATGAATTTCAATTGGCAAATAATCTGCTTGCCTCCAACTGTTACTTTTTGCATTTATTTAAGATGGTAAAGTTCTAATCATCCTCGCGTCCACTTGCGCCTGATACAGGCGTTTGTTTTAGTATCTGTTTGGTCAATTCATAATTTATCTCAACCACGAAAGTTTTTGCATGAGAATCACTTCTAAAGAAGGATTTTACCGCAGGTGCCGGCACGTCTACGTGACCGCTAACGTTTGCGAGGTCATCGCAAAATTATTTGAGCCGACTCATTAAGGAGATTATTCTTCGATCTAGCAAAGCCACGTACATCGAGGCTTGTGTGAGGTCGGCATTTGTTGACCAAACAAACGCCTCGTATGCGCTGTTGGCTTATAGCCATGTATTAAAAAAACAACAACGCAGCGATTTTAATCGACAGTTCATGATGTTCGCCAGATTGTCTCCGGCGAACGCGTGTTGTCGATGATCACCACCTCGCAATCTCGCCTGTACAATCATGACCGATGTAAATTAGGCGTCGTGATGTGCGCCACGGAACAGAATTAAATGAATTCACTAAAAGTGGGTTAGCAGCGCACCCACACAACCACAGAGACACACGCAACGCTAGCCAACATGCGAACTTTGGATTGGCCTTGTTACTAGTAGAAACCTGTAGCCAACTGCCTCTATCAGTGAATGACAGGTCGTGAAATTGCGTGAAATTTGTCGTCACCCGCAGTAACGTGAACAGGCTTTAAAGGGGTACCTCTCAACGCTGATGGTGATATTTCTGCTTAGCTACGTCTGTTTGCAGTCTCTGCTAATCTGAGTTGTAACTCGCTAGCCATGTGACCCTTCGATTAACATTGCCATAGCAACAACTAAACTCATGACTCTAAGGCCTTCATTCAGCTATCTGCAGGCTGTGGTGTTTGATTTGTGGACACGAGGTTCCACGCGATAACTAGCTATCTCCTAAGTTGTAATTAAGTGTAGCTCTCCGTGTGTAAACGATAATTTTGGAAATTAAAAAGGACGGAAGTAAATAGAATGCGTTTATCATAAGTGTCAAGTATTTTAGAAAGCTGCCAATGTCATGTAGATCTGCTCCTGTCTTGGTTATGTCCTCCGCAGTCCACACAGACATGCAATCTGGTCAGGCTCTGTCAATCTACGCATACAATCCACATCTGCATTCTTTGTGGTTGTGAATATTGAAAACCAGCAAACCAAATTGGGCACCGATTTTATCTGGAAATAGGTTATTCTCGGGGCCTATTGGTTGCCAAAGACTCATCAAAACAATGGGTGACTCAATGTTCATAATTAGGAACGCCTAATCTACCAGATCCGCGTCGCGTCTGCCAAGGGGAGTGACCCCAATTGTCACACGAGTCACCTCGTGCTTATCTTGATGAGGCGCCAATCAGCAAGTCGGGGGAGCGGACAGACTGATTTGAGTTAACACGGCTGAGTCGTGAACGTGGTGCCGAAAACTTGGCGCTATAGCAATACCGGCTCCGCAACCAAATTGACATTAACTTGAGTTACCTCTGGGATGGGTTGCACAAGCTTCACTCCGCCAACTAGGAGGAGAAATGCCATCAAGTGGGACTGGGTTTTCGTTGAAAAACCACGATTTTGGCACTGTAGACGTGACCATGAATCCCATGGCTGTGGGGCTAGTTTGTGCCTGCTTCTAGAATATTGAACAAAGGACAAGAATTTAAAAGTTCTGGAAGTATAGTTGATTTCTGACTGTTTACATCTTCGGTTCAGTCGACTACGTAATTGGCTCTTTGAAGTTAGACGAGCGTTGAGTCCTACACTCACGCACTTCTTTCATACTCGCAAAAGTTGATCATTGTTCGCTAAACAGTTCATCTGGGCTTTCAAAATTGCCTGTTATTGACACCTCAAGCGACGCGATCGCACTACATCGTGGGATCAAGTCGTTGTAATAGTGCGATCACCAAACATTTCTAGCAAGAATCGTTTCCATTGACTACTTATTCAACACTCTTGACCCCAGTCGGACTCGAACAGTGTTTGTTTGCTTTGATGTCCATGCACTTCAAAAGGTCGAATGCACTTTTCCACAGTGTTTTGATCGATAGCGGAAACACTAGCATCCGCAGGTCCTCAACGACACAATAATACCGATTTTACCAGTTTGGTAGCTGTTAGTACTTTACTGCTCACGGTGGATTCACGACAACTGATTGACGTCTGTCCATTTCTTGCGAGACTTCCCCCAGAGATGCGTAACAACTCGCTCTAATGCCATGCGTTGTTGGCGAAGTCTGACGCGGTCTAGTCATAGCTCTGTGTCTGTAGATCACGGCAAAGGTAGTCTTGTGGACTTATAGATCACCCAATTCCCTGTCTAACTGTCTCTCCTTAAGAAGCCCACGCTAGAAAGGGGGAATTGTGTGACCCCATCAGCTAGCGAGTATTAACAAAGAGGTAAGTGGCATCTCTGGTGAGCTGTCCAATCAGATTTACCTGGAGGTGATTGGTTCCCACCATCCGCTCTCTCATTGGTCTCCGTTTCAAAGTAGCGCTCTAACACACATTGTGATTAAGACGTAGAATATGCCGCACTTGATTGGCAATTATTGATCCCTTGTTAGTGCAAAATGTTGTTAGCGTTAGTGTTTAGGTTAAGTCATGAATTTGTCGGTTGCTTGGGACGTGGAATGAGGTTTGAATGAAGTTGGTGGGTATAGCGAACTTAAAATGGGGCGCGCCAGTAGTCATTTTGGAACTCGCAAACCACTTTTCAAGTCATGCTAGCAATCTATCTGCCACACGATTTCAGCAGCTGGGGCCTCTTAGACGAAGTTACCGCAGTAGCCAATGAATTGCCAGTTTCTTGGCAAAGCGCCCAATTATGTGCCACTTATAGCAGCCAATGAATTACCAATTTCTTCGCAAAACGCCCAATTATATGCCACTTGTAGGTCGTCTTAAGTAGCATGTTGTGAGAACAGCAATTTTTACAGTTCTAATGCTTTTCTTTTCCAATAGATCCTGTCCACTTTCTTGCTTGGTGTCGGACTATACTACCTACTTGAAAACTGCGACACATACTGCAGCTTCGTCGAATTGGCTCTGCCCGTCGCCCTCGTCCTGTTTGCGATCATCTCCATGCTCAGTGCCGCTGTCGGTTACATTGGCGCACTTTTCACCAACCTGTTAACAATTCGTCTGGTAGGTGTCCACTCCAGTCTTTATCTCTCGCCTCCCTCCCCCTCTCCCCCTCCTAGTTCGCTATCTTCGAAATCGTGATTTTCGTCTGTCAAGTCTGCGCTGCGCTAACCTTCCTGCAGATAAATGAGAAGGTACAGGAAGTTGAGCTCTCACACTTACCGACTTTTTAGCTGTTGCCAGCGTCTGTGCGCGAGATTCGCGCGTTAATTGCACAGGCGGAGAATTCGACTGTCATAAACAGAGCTGATGTGATTCTGGAAAATATGCAACGGCGGGTAAGGTTTTAATGAAATCGTGTAGTTGTGAGGCCAATTACGTGATCGCGAATTGTCGAACTTTTTATCTTAAATATGAATTGCTACTTACACAATTTTAGTACCAATGCTGTGGTGGCGACAACCAAAGCGACTGGAAAAATGGACCACCCTTGTCGTGCTGTGTAAATCCGAACTACCTTGATAATACCTGTAAATATCCTGGAATTTTTGTACGGGTACGTTTCACATGTAATAATAAACATGTTATCGTTATAATTGTTGGATTTTCACTGCGAGCGAGGAATTCGAGTACTGGGGTCATTTACACACGCCTTGTCCTCTTCTTTGCAAGCACAAAGTACTCCCAGACAGTGGGCCAATCAAGTTCCCCAGTAGTACTCAACGACCTTGGACGACTGCCTCCCCTCTAATCTTATTGGCTGTTGCCTTACGTTCGTTGCGCCCGCGCAATTTCAACTTCCGTCATTTTTATTGCTATGCCCACGAATTCTCATATTTGGGTTGTTTTTTTTTCTTCAATTTTTTAAGGGATGCGCAGATGCAATGTACCGACATTTTCTATTCAACGCCCACACCTGGATGTACGCCGTCGTGGTGATTCTGGTTGTCAAGCTTTTCGTTCTCGTTGCTGGTTCCTGTCTGCAGTTTCAGGTGAATCGCTCTACTTCCCAAGGACTCAACCGACTCGGGTCCAGCGTCTTTTTTTAATTTCTCATTTTGCAATCAATTTCTTCCTCCAAAATCGATACATATCGTCCTCCGCGTCACCAACTTTCCCAACTTGTGTAATCTGTTTTAGCTTGAGTGTCAATGATTTTCAGAGCTGACATTTTACCTGTGCTGTAGAATTAATTGGAGCAAAAAGTAGCTGTCAATGGATGCTGTTTTGCGAGCTTTTAAATGCCACAAAGACAAAATAAATAATTATCAGGTGTATGAATTGATTTCTATAGACGAAATATTGTCCATCGTTTTCTATGACCTTGCGCCATCTCTCAGTTAACGCACGAATGCCGTTGCGAAAGACACTTGCGGGCTTCGAGGCAGTTATCTCAGTGACGAATTCACGCACAACGCCCAGCGTTTTAGTAACTTTATCCGCCAAGCCGTGCTGCTGCTGCCGCATTGACCGCAACAAATGGTTGTCGGAAGGGGGTCAAGTCTAGTGACTATGCCGCGTGTGGCAGAGCGTCCCATCCCACGTTCAAGAGGGTCTTCTGAGTCGCACAGCCAACATGAGGTGGTCGAGCGCTGTTGTGAAGCAGCGGCAGTATGACTTGCCCGCCTCCTTGCCTAGTAAATGGCCTTTTCTGATAGTGTCTTCGTCTAAATTTGTTCAACCGTCTAGTGGTATTGCGTTCCGCAGTCACCGTCTGACGACCAGTTTCCAGGAGTTTTTAAAAAAGTACACCCCTCATGTGCCACCACATACGCAGGCGTGCGCTCCGGCCCCGTAGTATGATCAAGAAGGGAGTCCTTTAATAAAGGCTGAGACAAGCCACAATCTAGTCACAAACAGGTCGGGCCTAAGGGGGAAAACAAGGTCTTTATATGTACATGTCCTGGTTGTCCTGTTCTCCCGTTGGTCCATTCCGCGGCGCTGCAATGGAGACGAAAAACTAGTGAGCGGATTGGCTCGCAGTCCCCGGCGCGTTATTCAATGCTTTTCTTCCGCATGACGTCCATTCACTGCTTGTTGCCGGCTGGCAAGCCGTGAAAGGCATATTTCATACGGTGACCCAGGAGGTTGTGTTCGGTCAACACATGTGGTGGGACCCAACTTCCAAGTTCTGAATTCTTCCCATTTGGTAGTTCAAACACTTGGGCAACCCTGTATAGTTGACCTCTAAGTGAGCTACACACTCTTGCTTTTGCATTGAGTTCTCATGTAGTAGGTCTGGCGATTCTGCATAGTCACACTTTCAAGGCTGCTGTCCGCGGCGCGGCTGGCCACTACGATCGAAATCATCCCTTCTAAGACCTTTGTGCCACTAACTACACATTTCGAAGGTCACTACGTCGACGGCACCAATAACACTACAAAGTGATTACCTCGGTGTCTTAGAAGCAGTTTTACCTGTTTGCAATCCGTATGAAATGCGGTGCCGTAGAATGTTCTCTTGATCAGTCGCTATTGTAAATTGTTCTTCTGAGGTGTAATTAAACCCATGTGGACTTGTCGCTCAAGGTCGTGAGACCGTGGGTCAGATCCTTTCATAACCACCAAAGCTGTACAAATTAAGCCATGCACTCTATATTCCCCTGGTCCAATCGAGCCTATAACCTTCATGACAAGCCTGGCGAAAGGAATCTTGTCTTACTTTGTCACATTTGCGTGATAGCCCACGTCGTTGAATAATTGTATGTGTACCCTTTACCTATCATCATTTCTGAGGCTCCATGCTATTGGGTTTTTTGTGTTTGAAGTGTGGTCTGTGTCTGATTGGGTGAATTTATTGGCAAACAGTGATGATTGGGTAGCTGACTTGTCTGGATTTTATCTTTGGCGCGAGGCATCGTAAGCAAGTCCGCACCTTCAAAATTTCCTGGTTGAGAATTAGCAGTTTCCGTTGCTACAGTGAATGTGGTTGTGTTGGATTGGTTATCTTTCTTCTCAGTCAGCGTTTATTTAACAAAGTAGAATTTCAACGAGCCACTTGATGTGCGGCTTGCAACTTTGCACTCTTAATCGTTGGTTGCACCTGTCTATTAAGAGTTGACGATGGCACTTGTAATGGCTCTTACAAATGCCGTAAAGTTAATAGGGCTGCACATTGGACGAAACATTTAATAACGTCGTTTATCCGATATTTACGTAGGGAAAGATGGAAACACAAATCAGGCGAATGGAGAACTTGCCGCATTAGTCTATGCAGTGCAGTAATTAGATCGAAGTAGCTGCGTTTACTGGAGTCGCAGATGGCGTTCTACATTACAGCTAGCGCACCTTCGCTCTAAGAGTGAATGAACTCGAACTATTCGCTGAATCGGTGTTGAATGTTCAATCGTTTGAGCTCCCTACATATTACTATGCCCCCAAATTAAGAGACTTCGTTTATTGCATTATATTTGGACGCTAAGGGAAGTATTTCGGATATGTTCTGGTAAAAAGCTATCACGCTAACCTAGGTCGTAATGTAGCGGACAAAACTAGTTTTTCGATTAAAAAAGGCATTCTTGTATGTGTCGCTTTAGCTTGGAGTTGAGACATTTCTTGGGACATGATGAATATTTTCTAACGTGCAAAATTGTGTTTTCTTATACACGAAATTTTTTCTGTATCATTTACTAAGAAAGCTTTGTATTATTCCAAAATAAGCCATTTTATTAAAATCGGCAATTGTAGTGACGCACACAAAACTTATCGCTTATTGATTTGTTTACAACGCCGTTTAGTCGTTGCTGGGAAAAATGAACGAAAAAATCAAGCTGTCTGTCATTATAAACTTACTACTGCACTACGTATAAGTTATTCTCAGTAAGTTTGCATGTTAAGTGTATGACCCATCTTACTAGCAACCGATCAGTCCTGAATTTGATTGGTGGGCTTGAGGTCATGCATCAATGTCGAAATTACAAGTGTGTGATTTCTACCATCATGCCAAGGTGCAAACTCAGCTTCTGCAAAACTGTCATGAGACCGTGTTTTCACTTGTCAAATGACACTAAAGTAAGTCTCTTGACACCCGGGTGAAGCTAATAGCAAAATCGGGGCATTACTGTCTGAGATTCTTGACCAACCTAAACGGATAGATGGAACGGCGCAATTTGTGAGCAGGCCTAACGATTAATGTGGCACATTGTTGCCCACCACCAGGCTCGACGATCTCCATTGACACGGGCCCACCAAGAAAGGGAGGAGACCACACAGATATCGCGTAGCCTAACTAATTTACTCATAGTTTGTACAGGTAGCAAGTCGTCGGTTTATATAGGATCGGTTAATATCGATTTCTTAACAAACGTAGTTGCATGAATTGCGTTCAAGTATATCGATTGAATTGTGTTCGATCACGCCTGCTGCTCGCCACGCTGTAATGCTTAGTCAAACAAAAGGCCATCCTTTTATTGAAAATGGCAGTGCCAAATTGGTGTTGTCAAGTTCATTTTGCCACGAAAAATAGATAGGAGATTGCGGTTGGTGTTCACCGGTTAAAACACTCAAATCTTCCCAACTTGGATGCACTTTGACGCCCTAGTCAGGGACTCTCGCGTGCAGACCTCAGCAGACCGCAAATTTGGTCCACTTTTTTGCGTCCTCAGCGGCCTAACGTAGTTGTTATATCAGATTATGTCATCCATTGCCTGAATGGCTGCGGAAATGTGTTGGTAATGCAGCAGTTTGCACTCAACAAACTCGCTTGTCCAGGTATGTATGTCCAATACCGTCATTTAATCTGCCGCTGTGGTGCGATCGGTTGAACTACGCCCAGTGCAGAACCTCCTAAGGGGGTTTGTGTCACGACCACGCACCGTGCTACAACGCCTGGGTTTCTCAATCCACTACGTTAGATTTAAGTGACCAATCAACCTCGCAGGAAGCCATTTTGTGGGAGATAGGGCCACAGTCATGGTTAAGCTTATTGTATCATCCTGAGTTTGCAGATGGTTTGCAACATTGATGTCCATCTCTAATTGAAATCACCGAAGTGCAGTTTGAGCACGAGTTTAATTCTCCTCTCTCATGTGTATTGAGACAAGAACGTGAAACTTCTAGCAACTTCAATGACTAATCACCAGAGGCTTGATCTAAACCCACGCGTACAGTCGCATGCCAGACTGTTGCAAGTGCTAAGTGATTCAACATGCGGCAGCTGTGCAACCACTCACCTCGTGTAACTACATAATCGGTTTAACGGTGAAGATTTCTAGGTCGTTTTGCCACATGCGTGGTAGAGTTTTGAGAAGGAAGTAAGACACTTCAAGGAAAAAGCACAACTCAAATGGCAAGCCGTGCTCACGCGGTATTATCTTGGCACACACTTACACACACACAGTCCCGCGTATGAGTAAAACTTCAGGCGAAAATGGTGTAAGTCAGGTTGAGAAATCCGTGGAAAAATCGTGGAGTTATATGAGTGTGTGACTGTGACGCATCTAACTATCGACCTCTTTCGTTGTTGCAGACAAAATTAGCCATAAAACTGACTTTATTTTACTGGGATTTTTGAGAATGATGCTGTTTAAGACAGTTATATTCCCACGAATTGAACTTATATGAATCAGCTTGCCTGGTTAATAGCATTAATCAGTCCCGTAAATTTACTTTTAAACCTAAAATGATAATAGTTCTTGACCTGACGTTGGTACAATTTGAAATTTGTCTATTTCACACATCCACACCATTCCATGGACATTGCATTCTATCCCTCCCATCTCTACCTGAGTAATCGCTTATTAAAATACAAGTGCGGGAAATCCGGTCAGTACTCCCTGATTAAAAATTTTTACTGATGTCTGCCATTTAGAACACCACATTCCCAAAATCGATAAATTGGTTTTTGATTTCACAACAAAAATTTGACTAAATTCACCAGGAATTTTGTGCTAGTTTTGAACAAAAAGAGTGCGTTTCTTGAGTCCATGCATAAACTGCAGACAAAGTGCAACCATTTCGTCGGAACACCAAGTGGACTTGCCAGGCGGGCGTCTGCATAATTAATCTCCGATTAAGTCTAAATCATTAGACTTTTACGATTATCCGAGACGGGATGCCTGAGCTACTTGGATAAACACATGCAGCACGTGATGGACAAGTGCTTTAATGAGAAGATAAAAAGAAATTTAAGTTATTTTGATAAAAAGTTTAAGTACAAATAAAGACAATCCCTACGAGAGTGACCAATAAGGATCCAGTCAATCTGTATTCAATTACTGAAAGTTAAGAAGTATTTTCAATGGTGGAAGTCGCCATACTCACCTGAGGTGTTCCAGAAGATGGTTATTATCCACAAAAATCCGAACAATTGCAGCTGGCCGATGCCTGAGGTTGTCGGCGTGAACAGAACAACTAGCCAGTAGAATGAGCTGACTGGTTGTTATTTTTTTAAATGAAGAAAAGCTAACTAGTGCAGAATACCCGAGCCCTAGTGTGAAGAAGACTGGTACAACAGAACAGACTTCATTGACCAATCACAAGCCAGAACCACACGTCAGGAGCCATCCATCCAAGTCCACTACGCTGGCTGTGTCGCTCATCATATACTGCTTCTTATACGTATCTGTCTCTGGTTGGCTCCATATCTTCCTCGAATGCCATTCGAACGAAACCAGACAGAGGTGGTGGTCCATCCTGCCTTTTACGTCGTTACACTACGGTTGGTGGGAAATGTTTTGTTATTTCATGCGAATGTATTCCAAAGAAACACCGTTAACATTTCAAAAAATTTGTTCCAACAAAGCTCACCAGGGCAGGTTTTCTACAGCTACGTATTCTACAAAGTTCCGTGTGTTTTGGCACACCAACCGAGTGAATAAGAAGTGGTAGCAAATTCTTTCTCTTGGCGGTGGTATTTCGTGCTATTGCGCAAGCGAAATCCAGCTGTAAAGAAGGTGTCGTGTGAGCAAAGACCAGTAAATGAGGGTTTGCGTGTGAGATGCAGGATTAGACTCAGGTCAGATTTCACTGAAGTTCATTTGCGGTCAGTAGAGCACAATCACGAGCTATGTGGGTACAAATAATGCAACAACACAGATAATAATCACTTTGGTAATACATTTGCGTTACAAAATTAATAATTTTTTACCTCGGGCATTAACGTTCTCATTTTCATGTTTGGATATCGTATTTTGAAGCATTTATAGTTCCAGTCTAATCTAGTAATTTTGATTTCAACATTGATCTACCCTAGAGGCACTATATGAATAGCGTAAAACATAGTCATCAACTGCAAATTTGCAGCTACCACGATAATTCATTTCCACCCAATGAATGCATTTGAATCTTTAATTAACTGTACTCAGAATGGTAGTGGCAATTTTGACGGATGTCAGCTAGGTCTTCTGTTTGGCACACTGAATCCGTCTCAGTGTTAACTCAAGCACAATGATGGTGCGAAAGCACACAAGATGCCCCATTGGCTCGTGGTGCACACACACACAAGTGCACACCCTCACCGACACACGGTAGCATCTTGTTTTCGACGAAATTCCTCTCCTCCTATTGGTCAGTGAGGCCTCGGAGGGAATTGATTTTGTCGGCCGATGTGAGTCTGATAAAAAGGTGCCTTCAGTTAGCGCACACAATACTCGACGCAGCTGAAAGACGGAGAAATGGCTCTCTCGTGTGGCGGAAGTTGCCTGAAATGCCTTGTCTTCTTCTTCAATGCGATTGTTTTTGTAAGGCTGGCATCTTGCTTATACCCTAACTCTGACTTAACTTATATTTATATAAACTTTCTTTTTCTATGTAGCTCGGAGGCATTGTGATTAGCGCCTTTGGCATTTACATGCTGGTTCAAGCCAAACAGTCAGCTGGCTCGGTTTCCGTTACTCTGCCAGCCTTCATCACGGCCTTCGGTCTGCTTATTTTCTTGCTCGGCTTCTTGGGCTGCTTTGGAGCCTGCTACGAAAACAGGTGCATGCTGAAATTGGTAAGAATGCTGCTTGGCTTGGAATGACTTTCATCCGTTTAGTTCGCTGTCATTGTTGGTGTCTTGCTGGTGGCGGAAATTGTGTGTGGAATCATCCTGCTTGTCTATCGTCACTCGGTAGGTTTATGTGTGTTTTGTTCATAACACCACCTCAACGTAGTTTGTCGACATGGTGGGAAAAGAAATGCAAAACATTATCAAGTCACTTTCCAACTCCTCTAATTTGGAAGTCGAAAAAACAAAGGAGGCGCTAGATAAGCTCCAAAGTGAGGTACGTTAGCAAGATGAAGCCGTAATCTTCTTAGCTCAAATGCTGTGGCGGTGTAAATGCATCTGACTGGACAACTGTGCCCGCATCCTGCTGCACGAACGGAAGACAAAAGTGTACAAACCCCTACCCGACTGTAAGTTTGTCCCTTCGTGCTGGTGTCTAATGCTTCATTAACTGTAGGGCTGTGCACAAGCCATGTACGAGTACATCAAGACCTACTCGTTGGCCTTCGGCCTGATAATCCTGATCTTGTGCCTGATTCAAGTCGGTGCCATCATCTGTGCCGTGTGCCTCGCAAAGAAGATCAACGAATACGAGAAGGTCTAAGGTGCACGCCTTGCTTTGTTTCCGTGTCTAAGCAACTCATTATGTCCTTCTGGTTTCAACTGCCTTGCTCAGTGGATCTCTGTAATTGTGTATAACGAAAATGCATTCGCCTCATCAAACCTTCCTTATTCCTTTGTAGCTCGTTTTTCAATAAATGCAACTTGTCAACGACACACAGGCCTTTACTTATTTAAGCAATTAGCAACTGTTAATAGTCTGTGATTGTTAATTTGGTGAATGAATGTTTTTTTTTAAAAAAAGTTAAATTGAATTCAGAACTTGGCGGATAATCTATGCAACTATTCGGATGGTGAAAAAGCGCTGGCTTAAGTGATCTCCTCCCATGAAATCTCACCGTGACTTGTGCGTGCTTAATTAAACAATCTGTGTGCCAAATTTAAATGATGCAAGCCACTGTGTAATGAATGCACACACCGTTAAGCCTCCAAACGCTCGGTAACATTTTCGGTTAAGTTTTTTTTCGGCGTGAACTTGCTAATGATTGACTTAACGGGTAGTTCGGAAGCTGACATGGACTGATACTGATCAGACGTGAATTACTTAGTCGAAGGTCGTAAGTTACTGAAGCTGCTAGGGTTTAGCCAGTAATTATTGAAAAAAGCTAAATTAGACCAGAGAATTCCGCTTTTTGGAGTCTAGAGGAAACTCTCGTCTCCAGAACATCACTGATATGGTGCACGTTTGTAGTGAAAATCAATAACTCGCACTTCTACAGACAGGCCTGTTGTGAATCGTGTTTAATCACAATCCTTAATCCGGTAGCTCCTTCTCTGACACAGGGTTCCCCTTTTCACAGCATGCTGCCAGCCGAGCGGATCCTCAACTCCCCCCTTTTAGCTTATCCTCGCACATAGGTCTCGATGTTAGCGCAAACCCCACACACGACACAATGACACCCGTTTTGGTTGACCTCTAAAGTAACCGGTCGCGTCGACGACTTTTCCTGTTTTTTTCTTCATTACGGGTATCAGGGAAACGCAATCGGGTCAGAGTTAATTCCGTGGCCCCGGCGTGGTTCAAGACCACATGCCGGGGCCCACACTAGGCCTTTACTAAGTTAAACGGACAAATGTATTCAAATTTTGGAATTCTGAGCATTCAGTGATACTGATCATCCAGGTGCATGTACCTATGGAAACTTCCGTCGTAAGATTGAATTTTGCATTAATAAAATCGGCCCGTAGATGGAATTAGTTTGTGGCGACTTTGTTAACACTACCCTACAATCTCACAAATTAACAGCCACACAACCACTCGAGAAGAGCAGCAAGACAGGCGTCAGCGAATTTAGCCTTTTTTGTGTGTACATCGGACCACCCAGGTCTTTACACATCAGAGTTCTTGAAAGGAAATGTTTGACAATTTTGCAAGACCTCATGGATATTTGGCGACTTATTTTGAATTGTAATCTGGAACAAAATTTAAACTGGAAAGGTGAAATCCTAGCTATTTCGATACAAGATCTTATGCGGTATCTTTGACCGTGAGAATTTTAGGCAATTGGAGAATTGCTTTGAATCACTTTCTCGCAGATTTTTCTGATAGGTAAAATTTGAGGGAGCTGCGAAGAAATGCCATTTAAAATTAGGAAAAAACTGACATATGGCCATTTTAGTTGGACCTAAATAGTGGGTTTTGCTTTAACCATAAAGGCGTCGTAGACCTAACGTCTGCTACAATTGCCCTGTTATTCAGATCTACCCTAGCGGTTTTACTGTTTACATTTAACTCTTTACATCTCACGGGCACAAAGCTCTCACATTTACAATTATTTTCTGTTTACACGTGTTGTCTGCTTTCTGTTTGCTTCCAAGAACTCTTAAACGTTATTAACACTATCAAAAGTACGTCTTTGTACGTCTTTGCTATGTTAACCAAATGTGTATCGTACTAGACTAGATGACGCTGTGTAGTCGTTGTCTGCAACATACCGTGAGAAACCCCAGCCCTGCACAATGCTCGAGACCAGAAAGTAGCTAGACTGAATGCTGATTTGTCTGTCATAGCTAGTTGACGAGTTTTTTCCAACACGATGACTTTATTGACCTTGTCTGAGCAAGAGTGCGTGATACAGTTGACTACAGAGCAATCATGGTTACAGGATACAGGAAACAGCAGTTATGTCAGAAGCAAATACGTCGCGTTTAGTCACCCAAAGACAAGAATAAACGTCCAACCAATAAGGATTTGGCGTTGACTTTGGTTTAAAAATGGAACCTCAAAAATGCCAACCTCGTTATCGGAGAATTGTAAAAATGTAAGCCCAGTATTGACTAATTACCTGATCCACACGACACAGAAATGACCACCAACGTACGTTCCTTTAAGTTATGCATCTGACTGATCTTTGGAGGCAATTGTCCGCTGGAAATAGTTCAAAACTTTGATGTTTACAGTCCGTGACCTAACGTTGATATTTGGTTGCTTATTTTTGGATGAATTTTGCAAAGTAGTAAAGATGACTTTTCACGACTTAACAAAATATCAGATAACTAGGAACAGTGCATGTTCTTCGTCTTCTTTTATAGTGAATCCTTAAGTTAGGAAACGAAATCATTTTTTTATAACAAACCGCGGTTGAATAACGATTTGTAGTGGACTGACAGCCACCTCGCGTGAGTGATGCGTGCATGGGGGCCCGAGTGGACCAATTACTCACGCCTTTTGTTATTGGCCCCCGTCAGCATTCGCTTGTTACGCACAGAAAGCCACTTGGCTGGTTTGACACTGATAAACGGTCGTGTTCTCTGTCGCCTTTTCCCCTTTCCTCGGGTCGTTACGGGCTGTTAAATAGAGGGCTTTAAGGTAGTACTAAGCCCCTAGCCACTACATTTGGTGACCCCGACGTGATGAAACCCGGCTACTACACATTTGGTTATCCCGACGTGATGAAACCACTTTATTTTTGACGCCGTTGATTGGTGATCTCTGTCGAATTTTTCACAACCCTCTCATCTGTTAACAATGGGTGACCCTATTGCTGTGTACCTCTGTTTGGAAAACAGCATTTCAGTCAACTCTCTCCGGTGCTTTCCCAATGCCCGAGTTTGATTTACGCTACCTGAGGCCCATTTTCGCAATTAAGTGATTGCCTACCAGCTCCCTAAATATTTACATGTTGTTATATTGCTACCGAGAGATGTTGCTACAGAATTTATTGACTTGCTTGAAATAATGCCTTCTGAAAACCCCTATGGAAATTCGAAAGATGTTGTTCTAACACGAATGATCGGCTTGAACGAGCCTCGTCGTCGACGCCTACTTTCTGGTATCGAACTAGTTGACAGGTCTCCTTCTCAACTCCTTCGGCATACACGCCTCTTTTTTGGGGATATCAAGGTTAATGATTCCGTTCTACGCCAGATGTGGACTAAAACTTGCTTGGCACACATGAACACAATCACCTCGTTCCTAAGCTCTAGCGTACATTTCGATCAGCTTACAGAAATGGCTCATAATATCCACGAATTTCTAACCCACGTAGTGGAAAATCTAACTATCTCCTCTGGTGTAGCAGCTAACAGGTAGCCAACCACCTGCTAACATTAGATGAATTATCATCTAGACTGCCTCAACAACGACAGCGTACTACTTCCCGCTTCCGCTAGCCAAGTCAACCCAGGAAGAGATCCGACCTACCCCTGAGACCTGTTGTCTGCTTAACTGTTTCAGTTCAGTAACTTTCCAGCGTTTACCGTTTCACAGGGAGGAATATTTGTAGTGGACTGACAGCCACCTCACGTGCGTGTGCGTGCACGAGGGCCCAAGCGGACCAATGACTCACCCTTTTTGTTATTGGCCCCTGTCAGCATTCGCCTGTTGCGCACGCGACTTGGCTGGTTTGACACTAATAAACGGTCGTGTTCTCTGTCGCCTTTTCCCCTCTCCTCAGGTCGTTACGGGCTGTTAACTAGAGGGTTGTAAGGTAGTGCTAAATTCCCTAGCCACTACAGATTCATGTCTTTTACTATTAATTAACAAAGCTTTTTACGTGAGGTAAATGAATGAAGGATTGAAATCACCAAGCGAAGCGAACTGACCCTGGTTATTACCTGTCAAGATGTTCACCGAACAGTGACAAAAACTGCTCAAAATTTGAACTGGGTGTCAAATTATGCAAGCCCTCTGTACGACTTTGGAAGGTCAGGTGCTACAAGGCTATGGCAAACTGTCAGCAGGTCATTTAATGCCAAGAACAGTGGAATGCATGCACAAAGCCATTGGTATTAAGAATAGGCCGATCATCTTCAAGTTCATGTCCACTAACCGCGAGCAACCTGATCGTCGTGATCAGCACAATTCAACTTTGAGTCGGCCTTAAAACGGTGCTTACTTCTGGCTTAGCATCCAATGACAATGCAGTTTTTACTCCCGGCGAGTTATTGGCTACGCCTTTAATAAGCTGTGTGTAAGTTCCAGGTACACAGGAATGTCAGTTTGCCAAAATAAGGCCTTGATTACTACGAAGAGAAACTTAACTTGGCTTCTACATTGATCTCAATGCTCAGGTGCAAATGCTTATGAAAATTGACCTTCATTTGAGTTGTAAGTTTACGGGATCACGCCTGCCAACATGATCTGGAAGACGTTAGACGCAGATTAAAATACATGAGTGACTGTTTTTTTTTCAAAGTATGTTATGTCGACATTCTGTAGGCCGAAATGACAATTACTAACGAGCCCACTTGTTATCAGTCTTCCTCGATATTTAAAAGACTAATATACTGAATTTCTATAACAAAAAAATGTTTTATTAACGGCCCGGTTGCGCGAAACTCGAAGGCCGCTAAGGTCCCATTACCTTCAAATAAATCTACCGAAATCTAAACGATGCATTTATTAAAATATGTCGAATTTCATACAGTCAACTAGAATCATTCTGTGCTGAAATAAATTTAGGTAAGTTACGGTGAAATTGTTCTTGTGAAGAGTTGCATCTTAGTTAATTGGAACCACAAAATGTGTCGTCGCCAACTGCTATGTGGACCACATGTACACAAACGGCGCATACCTTTTGAGTTTAATTGCATTATCTGAGGCACACCGAGCTTAAAGACAATTAGCATAAAATGTCTGAGAAATAACCACGAAGAAAAGTAGAAATGGTAAGAAAGAAGTTGACCAGAAGAGTCAGTTGGTCAACAGTTAAAAGAAGCACAGAGCTCGCATTAAAATCGTAAGTTCTTGAAGGTCACTTCGAGAGATACCACGACTCAACAATGTCAAAGCATGTTTGTGCCAATTGACGCCAATCTCAATCACTAGGAGGGCGACACGGGCTAGCGTTTGGGCTCTTGTGAATGAAGCATGTGTCACTCTGGTTTCCACGTCAGCATCTACCTGGATGCTGGGGCCGGATTAGAGCACGTGGTGGCAGCCAAGTGATCTCAGGGCCGTGTGAGTGCCGAATTCACTCGCACGAAATCGAGATTACTAAAGTTTGCGTCACAAATCGTGCCTGTAACAGTGTTTAACTCGTGGGCATCAAATACACTCATCTGTGATCTGCTACTGCGCACAAAAGGCCCCAAGAAATAAGCACTAACACTCGTTAAGTGTAAAACATGACTTATGTGCTATTGTGTGTTCGTCATTGCAATATGGGGTGAAGTGTTGCACAGGGTATTGCAAGCGACTGCCAAGTGTGCTATCTCAGCCTGAAATACATCCAGAGCAAATAGACAAAGTTATCTAGAAACACTTGGGAAAGTCCTTTTATGCAGCATGTGGTCTGTGAATTTCAAACCGTTACAGATTTCGTACAACTAAATAACCGGGTATCTTGTTGATTTTTAGGTGTTTCTGAACTACCAATGTGGGGCGCCTTCTTGTCTGATGAAGGCATTCACTGAAAACATGTAGACGGCTATAATGATAAAACTCATCTACTAGATTGTGCTTTAGTGATGCCTAAGCAATCAGACCGGCTCATTAACATCTGTACTAACCACATGCTAGAGATATTTACTAGTGTGAAGTTGATTAGCACCCTCTACCAACTCAGAACAATGATAATGAGTAGCTGTCAAAAAATGGCCGGTTAAAAAACGAAATCACGAGACAAATAGAATTAATTATACGTGTGCTAGATGATCTATGGTTGGGTTCTGTGTGTACGTTAGCGATGGTGAGGTTAGACTTACAATTTGAAGAAAAAAGTTTCGTAAAACCAATATTCACGATCGACTTAGATGTCAGAATTCAGAAAGCAAACATATTGTACTGAGCAATGCCAACTTTGACACATCAGGTGAGAGTCCATCAAAAATGAAGGGCCCCTAGATTAATCCCAACAAATCAATAGCAGAAGAAGCAAGAAGAGACGAAATTTAAGATCTAGATGTACAGATAAATAAGGTAATATGGACAGATGAGGAGTGTAATTCCCAAATTTTACCCGACCTTTTTACCCATGATGAAGGCAGAGGCGATGGCTCCAAGTTGGACAAAACACAGTGCAGTGGCGACGATGCTCACAGCCAATAGGTAGTCTTTGAAGCGGTCAAATAGGGCTTGTGCACATCCCTTAAAAGAAGCAGAGTATCTTCGTGGAAATCAGTGTGATTTCAACATTCCTTGCCCAGCAACTACGTTCCCACTTACTTAGCCAGTTAGGCTATACGAGGTTGTATTTGTGTCTGCACCCAAACGGCTGTAAATATGATCAAAGTGAACAAATACTCTGATTGGTGGGTTGACCTATTTCAACTTGAATGAACCAATAGCCAAGAGACAATCAATGTGTAAACCTTGCACTGGTCTCCGCAATCTCATCTAGATATGCAGATTTGCCGTATTCAAGTCCAAGGCTAGACACTGAACTGTGAAGTCACTACACAAAAAGTGTGATTTGCAGAACAAATAGATGAAAGAAATGAATGCAAACAAATTTGCATGAAATCGAGAAGGGATCACGTACCAACTGATATGGAGCATTGCAGGATCGAATTCCATTCGAACAACATGAGGCGGGAATGTTTGTGTAGTCACTTGGGCCACTTCCTCCACAGCATTTTAGCTAAAGTAAATGGCACACTCCTTCCAAGACTTGAATCCTACCTTTTCCTGCAACAAATCGATCGGCCTTTTGAAGTCGTCGGTGAGATCAAATTCTATATCAGAGAGTTCTAATGCCACTTGATATTGAATGGGTTCATTTATGATATCTCTGATCAGTGAAGTGGCGCAACTGACAAACTAAATGCGCAGTCAAAATTTCCTGACGGTGTGTTACCTGTCCATAGTAGACATAGACTAGGATGACGCAGGTGAATTGGAGGATGCACATAATAGCAAGAACTACAGCGAACTACGACGGGATCAGACAAATCAAGGTGGCGGCCTACCGTGTTGAGCATTCGTTCGTTTTCGAACCACGCTGCCAGGAAACCCAGAAGTCCAGTAATGAAGACGAGAACAGCGGCCACAGTCATGAAGGATAATGGTCCCAATAAAACGGTTGAACTAACCATTGTGGAATCGGCTAACATGTAGGCTGCCAGACCTCCACATATGGCACTACCGATCTACACGTCAGAATAGCAGTCACCATGCCAAATTTGGAATTACCATCACGGTCGTACTTAGAATGAGGACAACGATTTTAAGGCATCTGACACTGCAGGATACAGCCATTGTGTTGATGAAGGTTGCAGTCAGTCGACCTACTTATACTAACCTGAATCTTTGTGCGAACGCCATGATTGGTGGAGATGGGGCTTGTGCTATGTTGAACTTGAAGGACTATTAGGATAAGTCGTCCGATAGCTCACCTCGCTTGACCTCATTGTTAACGGTGCCGGTTCAACTTTGATGTTATGCCGCTTATTGCAATTTCAGACAAAAAATCATTTAGGGAGGCCTTGTTGTGCCTAATCCTGCAAAATTTGCTAGTCAACAAGGCATACAAGGCATTCCACTCAGGCAGCATCCGCTACTGCCAATCGCATTAGTCTGATGACATTGGTCGTGAATGAAAGTCCACTGTTTGGTCAACCGTTTTCGCCACCACTACAGTCCTCTTCGTAGCACACTGAAATGCGGGATAATTGAGATATTCTTGGCATTATCCCAGGTCCATAAGTTGAAATCGCTTGCAGTTACTATATGAATCCATTTGATATTCCAACTAGTCAGTATACTGACAGTCTCGTGGTTAGCAAAACGTTCATAGTGCCAAAAGTGATACAGGATATAGGCTCTTCAACATACTGATATGTCTACGGTTAAAACAATGCAGCGGAGGAACATGATAAAGCCGCAATTTTTTCTACACAATATTCAGTGCGTTATACTGATTACCTAAAAATATTTGCGAGATTTGGGCCACCGATGGGAGAGTCAGTCTGCTCCATTTCCGACAACACTGCCATTGTCACATTAGTTGCAACGAGAATCTGCTTCCGTTATTTCTGACACCCCAGCAGTGCTCAATTTCGCCCAATTCAGGATGTTGAGGAGTCTGTGGATGTGGCTGAAACCACGTTCCGTCTGTGACGAGTTGCGATTCAATTTGGGAAAAATTTTAAGGCTTTGCAGTTGCAGTTTAAAGCATAATGCCGAGCCTGATTATTAGCATTCTCTTCCAGCTAATGGAAACGGGAAATTCGGTGGCATGAGAATGACCAATGAGATTCGTAATCTAAAGCGATGTAATGAAAATGGTTAAAACAAAATATTTATGCACAAAATTCAGTCCAATTTACCGATTATCTGGGTGTTATTAACAGACTAGTCGATCTGCTGCACTACTGGCTAATGCTAGTTAAGTTCAATAGACATCAGTTTTCTAGTGAACTGGTTTCGCAGACAGCATTATCCATGCCACATTCACG